AGTAAAAAAGAAGTTGAGAAGACTTTAAAAAGATCAAAGGTTGGAAAATCAGTAGAACTAATGATATCCCCCATAAGTGTAGAAATATTTATGAGATTTGGAAGTCTCTTGGCTTACAAAACTCTTTAATATTATTTAAAAAATTGAAAAGTTGTATTAAGAGTGGAGGAAGAGTATTTTAGTCCTCATTTTTAAGAATAAATGGGATGCACAAGCGTGTGCTAATTATAGAAGAAGTAAGTTGATGTGTCATACTTTAAAATTATGGGAGAGGATAATTAAACATAGGTTAAGACGTGATACAATGTTTTTCGTTGATGATATCATTCTTGTGGATAAGACTAGAGAAAGAGTTCTGGAAAAACTTGAATTATGGAGGTTTACATTGGAGTTTAAAGGCCTTCGTTTGAGTACAACTAAAACTGAATACATGGGATGTAATTTTAGTAGTAGTTGCTCTAGTGGTAGAGTTGTAACTATGGGTGATCAAATCATTAAAAGATGTTAACATTTTAGATATCTCGGGTCTATTGTTCAGATTGATGATGATATTGATGAGGATTTTTAGTAGGATTCAAGCTGGTCGGTTGAAGTGGAGGAATGCTTCGAGCCGATTGTCTGATAGAAAAGTACCGCTTAAATTGAAAGAAAAATTTTATATGATATTGGTGAGACCTGCAATGCTCTATTGTGCACAATGTTAGCCTTTAGAAGAGAAACTTAAAACAAAGTTAAGTGTTGCAGAGACGAGCATGCTTAGGTGGATGAGTGGCTTGACACTTAGAGAGAAAATACGAAATTAATATATCAGTGATAGGGTTGGTGTAGCTTGATTGGCGGACAATATTAGAGAGAGTCGTCTTAGATGGATTGGTCACATTAAACGTTTACCATCTGATGATCCGGTTAGGAGAGTACATGTTTTAGTTTCGACTTATGCTAAGAAAGGCGGAGGTAAACCTAAAAAGACTTGGGCATATTGTATAAAAAATGATCTTAATCTATTAGAATTAAATGGAAAAATGACACTTCGTAGGACACAATGGAGAAAAAGGATTCATGTAGCCGACCTCACTTAGTGAGATAAAGGCTTTTTTTTGTTGTTTGTTGTATTGAAGTATTGCTTGTAAAGAAAATTTAGTTTTTGCCTTTAAAAAATGTGTGACACTACAACATGAAGAGATAACATAACTCATGAGGTCTGCTACTTATAATGTCATGCACATGATCATTTTTGAGTTTCTAAGGTTTTAAACATTAGAGATATGAAGCACGAATATGGATATGAGGATACAGACAAGACATGACATGGTGATATCAGAGTTAACCAACAATAACGAGAAAAATGAATATTATTATTGAAATCGAGCAGGAAATTACAATCAAACACAACAGGAAATTTAAAATTGCAATAAACGACAATACAAACTCAACTAGGGTTGGATTTAGGGGTGGCTTTGATGGTCGGCGAGGGCTCAGAAGGTGACGGGATAGTGGACGAGGGGGTTCACAAACATAAAACACCAGGTACTTGTTTTCCTGAGCGGCAGCAAGTCGGTAGGTAGGCTAGCTAGCGAAGAACGAACGGGCTGAGGCGATTCTGAGCTATGGCAGCCAGACTGGAGGGCTGGGCAGCGAGAAACAACAAGGAGATGAGAGTTCTGGGTGGCAGTCTAGGGACAACAGCAAGTAGGGGTGGTTGGAATAGGTCGGGATCAGCAAGAAGGACTAGGGATATCTGTTGGGAAGGCTAGAGTAGGTTGGGACAACAACTCCTTGTTGTTTTGGATTGCGACAACGCGCAGAGAAGATGATGACGGTGGCAGGAAGGCAGAAACTGCAGGAAGAAACAACTTAGTTTGTTGTTATAGGCGGCTACAACAAGGAGGGGTGTGGAAGAGTTGGGGAAGGATAAATCACCATTGCAAGAGCAAGATACAACCGGAGCACTACTGATACAACTCTATAAAGGAAAACTCGAGATGCCAACAACAATCCCGAACAAACATACACAAAAAACCAACTCTCCAAAACCTAATGTAAGACATATATAGAAAGGAAGAAATGGAAAGAATGAAATTTACCAAAGAAATAAAGGAAAATAAAATAGGGATCACTTCCGGTCTTTCTCCCGAGATACTGAATCCCGCAAGTAATTGTTTTGTTACTATAGCATGATAGCGAATCTTGTGCAGTAGCTCCCACATCACATAGATAAGGTGATACAACATAATTGTAAAACGTAAGATGTGATATGTCATGGACACATTTTTTTATTTAGTAATTTATTAATATAAAATACGTAATGATCTACTATGCTTTACTGAAGACATAACCGGATGATGTAAAATATCATTAAAAAAATTTAACACTAAAAGAATCAAACACGATTGACAATAAAGGAAATTTTATTGCACAAACATTCATTTAGTCATATTAAGTTGCCAAATTAGAATACTAATAAAGTTTGGGGAGATTCTTAACTTTAAGAAATTGGAGTTCAAACATTCATTAGTCATTTTAAGAATCATGAAGCTTTTTAACCAATTAGAGGTCAAACTCGCTAAAATTAGTCATTTTAAGTTGTTATAAAGCATTCATTAGTCGTACTCATATAACTTGTATAGATTTATTCAACTTCAAAGTCTCTAAACTTTAAATTAGAGGTCAAATATAAGCCCAAGCTCATTTTATGAAAATTTCAAAAAGAAATTTAAATTTTTTTTATTTAAAAAATACTTAAAATCTTAAGAAATTAGAAACTTTTGATCATTAAAGTTTAAAAGTGCTCTAAATTTTATAATTTTAAGAATTTATTATTTTTTATGTGTTTTTTAAAATTATTAATATTTTTTTATAACTTAATAGAAATATAAAATCTATATTCATAATCGTAAATCTATATTCATAATCGTAAAAAACTTAAATAACTTATTTGTATAAGTCCTTGTACGTCATCAAGTCTCCCTGCTCTTTTGACTTCTTAGATGCGCGCTATTGTAAATCAACTTCATCCCAAATAATTCTTTAAAGGGTGTCAAACCAATTTTTCCTTTGTTGTGCTCATTGCCTTGGCTTGTGGCTTCATTATCTTCCTCCCTCTACTTCCTCACATATATTCTTCATTGTGTATCTTCAAGTGTCTCCTAGTTTCATGTATCTCATAATGAGTTTTCCTTGCATATCTTTGATCATCTCAGTCGTGTTACTAATCGACCAGGCATCACAATTTTCTCTTTTTCTCACATTGAATTTTATTTCTCGGTTTGTTGTCTTTTTTCCTCTACCCATGTCCTTTCTTCGTGTTCTTTCATGTTGGCACCATGTTGGAGCCCTAATTTACCTCTAACTTAGTTACTCGCATTTCGTACACGTGTCACAGTGTGTTAGAGCGTGTCTATGTACAACATGTGTCCAACATAGGCGCAGACACACTTTGGAAGTGTCCTTGCTTCGTAGCATTAAAGAAAATTTGATTCTCTCTTTACTCGTTAGTTGCTCAGCTGGCATGATGGTTCGTCTCACATCATTTGTGTGTGAAGTGGGTTTACTTTACAAATAAATGAATGCCCACATAATTTTTAACTCTCTTTAATCCTAAATTTGTCATTACCTGCCTCAACCACCCTCTTAAGTTTTGAATCTATTTTAATTAAGCAACTTTCTGCAAAAATTTATAGCCCTACTTTTAAAGGAGAAGCACCAATAATAAGTACGTGAATTATAAAAATTTAAGTTATTAGATAATATGTTGTACTTAATTGTTTATTTCATTTAATTACCAAAAATTTAAGTCTCTACTTATAAAATAAATCAAATAATGATCTAACGAGTGTGTATGTGAATAAACTAGTGGCGAGCGATAATTTGTAAGGACAATATTGATGATCTACTGAACTTCACAAGCTATTAGTTACTAAATATAATCCAAAGCCACACAGAAACTGGTTTCCACAAGTTATTCAAGTTAATAGTGTTCCAAGAGTAAGTTGTGCAAGTATAAACACACTTTGAGAAATTTCTGGGCAACTACAACATGTGATCATTTTTACTTTAGGGCACTTACATAGCACCCAATTCCTATGTATTTATATATTTAACATCTAAATTTTGTTTTTTACGTTTATACCACCCAAATCTTTCGTCACACTTCAAAAATACTACCATTTTAATTTTTAAAAAGTGAAATACATCTTTTCATGCATAGGTAAGGGCTATGTTAGACATGTAAATGCATATAAATTTAGTGTTATGTTGATTAATCTTCCTTTTTCTTCTGTATTCATTATCCTTGAATCTCCACTGTGGTCTTCATGAATTGTATGGTGTCGAGGTCTTTCTCAAGTGATCAATCTCGAAGCTAGTGTAGTCTTCATGTTTTCTAGAAAATAATTTATTTGAAATTAATATACATAGCAGATCACTAGATTACATCACATAATTAATTTCTCTTTTATTTTATTACCGTATTTTCCAATTTAGAAAAAATGGAATTTCGTACTCCTTGGAGGTATTTTGGAACAATGGGAACTCTCCCCAACATCTATGACTGTGGGCTTCCAGTTCTCTCTTACACCGTATATGAGTAGAGCTACTAAATTTTCATTATTCCGCAGCTGAATCCATTTTCATAGGGAAATTTACATACACACCACCCAATTCTCATGTATTTACATATCTGGCATATATACCACTTTGGTGTCATAAACCTATGCATGAAATGGTATGTTTCACTTTTAAATAATAATTAATAGTGGCATTTTTGGTATAATGCTAAAATTTTGCATGTAAATATGAAGTTTCCGTGTTAGATGTGTAAACATACAAGAATTATGAAATATGTAAGTATGTAACATTACTGCTATGTGTGTACTTGTAATTGTGTTCTAAATTCAATATTGTGTTCCAAATTCAATTCTCAAGTCCTGCAACCTTTTTTTATTTCTGGTTTGGGTTGCAATTTTTAATTTCCTTTCTCCTAATATTTTTTTCCTTGCCAGGTTCCCCTTTTCAACATATTGAAGAAATTTGATGGCGAGACTGTTACTGAGGTCGTTCGACCATGCATAGCGAGGATGAGATATCGAGTGAAGAAACTGCCAAAATATGTAATTCTTCACATGCGTAGATTTACCAAAAATAACTTTTTTGTCGAAAAGAACCCCACTTTAGGTATGTTGCTTTACTTCCATTCTGTTTTGAAAAATTCTCCTCCTTAGCGATCAATTTTTTTTGTTATTTCCATTCTCCAAACAGTGAATTTTCCTGTGAAAAACCTTGAGTTGAAGGATTACATCCCACTGCCAACCCCAAAGGAGAATCAAAAACTAAAATCAAAATATGATCTCATTGCAAATATAGTACATGATGGGAAGCCAGATGAAGGTTATTATAGGGTTTTTGTGCAGTGCAAATCAGAAGAATTATGGTATGGACTACAAATAAGTTGAATCTCTACCAATCTCCATCTAGGGTTGTAAATGAGTTGAGTTGAGCCGAGTTGGAGCCACTCTAGGCTTCAGCTTCAGGTCGATTAATTAATCGAGCTCGAGCTGGCTTTTTTAAAATGAAAGAGAGAAAATAATATTAATTTTAAGTTGGTGTTATTATAAAATGTCAAATAGAATGGACAATTATGAGATAAATGAAATTACTCTATCAAGCAAGCAGGCTCACGAGCTATGAGCTAGCTTGAGCTTGACTTGCTAGCTCATTGAGCTCTGCTCATGAGCCGCTTATCATGCCAAGCCCTAGCTAGCTCACAAGTCGGTTTAGCTCAATCACGCCCTTATCATCTCCATCTTACTTCAGCCTTTTAATGGAAGTCTGAGTGTCTCTAATGATGATTTTCAGGTATGAAATGCAAGACCTTCATGTGACAGAAACTCTTCCTCAGATGGTTGCTCTCTCAGAGACCTACATGCAGATTTATGAGCAGCATTAATGACCTAATAAAAATCTTTTTTTTTCCTTTTTTTTTAATTAGATTTCTGGTGGATTATTTTTCTTTGAAGGCATGAAGGTTTTATTGAATCAGATATTTATCGGATGGATTAATGAAGAGGATTAAATCTCAATCTGCTAATTACGAAAGGTTTGATGAATTTCTTGAATGTTATACATAAATGCCACTCAATTCTTATGTATTTACATGTCCAAAACCTGAACTGAAATTCATATGTATGAAAAAGCATATTTCACTTTTTGAAGGTTAAAATAGTGATGGTATAGGTGTGATAAAAAGAATTGGGTGGTATAAATGTAAAATGTAAAGATTGGTGCTAGATGTGTAAATACATAGGAATTGAGTCTTATGTTGACAGTGAACAGATGCATTTTAAAAGATATTATGCCATAAAAATAAAAAATCTATTTTGCGCAATTGAAGATATCGATAAATAAAATAATAAGTTGCGTTCAATTATTTTAACTAATAAATACCGAGTCTTTCCTATTTTTTGGCTCCTTTGCACCTTAGCTACCAAATGGAGAGGTCTATTTGTTAACAGCAATATCATTATACTGGAGGTGACATAATGGAGAAATTACTAAGCCTGGAAGATTGATGTGCAGACGATTGTATGGATCACATTATGTTGCCGAACGTATGGTATGGTGTGATTTATGTTATTATCAGAACGCCCGATTCATCGTACGTTAAAGTTATGTTGAATTTTGAGTAGATGAAGGACTCAAAATTTGAAGAAATGTACATCCAAAATTTTGGGCTCTATGTACAGCAGTAACAATTTGGTTCAATGTACTGTCAAATCAATGGGGGTATTTACATACATTCTCCACAATTCCTATGTATTTGCATATCTAATGCCAAAACTTTCATATTTACGAATATATCATTCAAATTTTTAATATCACATAAAAAATATCACTAGCACTTACTTTTTAAAAGTGAAATGTTCATTTTTTTCATACGAAAGTATTATACTTGTAAATAAGAAGTTTAGGTCTTAGATATGTAAATACGTAAGAATTGGTAGGTGTGTATGTAAATTTCTCTTTGTTTTTAACCTTAGTCCTGTACATGTAAATATGAAGGCTTAAGCCTGACCTTGGCTAATTAATTAGGCTCGAGCTCCAATTTAATTCTATGAGTTTGATTCGACTCAGAGGGCCTCAATATTATAAAATAAAAAAAATAAGTTTCATGAAAACAATTATACTAATTCAAGAACACAAGTAGTGAGCAATTAGACCAGAAATTATAAAGAATAATTTTATAAAAGTAATTAAAAAATAATCTTTATATTTTTAAAATTCTTTTGTGCACAAATGAATTTTTGAATAATAATATTGTTTAAGCTTTTGTTTGGAATCAATTTTATTTTATTTTAAAAAACACTCAAAACAATAATATCTTAACCAAACATGTTTTATTTTAGTTCAAAACAAACAAAATAATAAAAAATAAAAATAAAAAGAAAAAAACAAAATATTTTTCAAACAGGCCGGCTCACGAGCTAACGGGTCAATCTAAATTACCCGACGAGCTTGATAGATGAGCCATTCATCAAGCTGAGCTCGAGCCAGCTGTCGAGTTGACTTAACTAGGTTATACCCCTAACCCTTTCTACCATGAGATGATTTAAAAATAATATTCCCTTGTTTCATTACCATCCAAAACAGGCTTCTAAGGATAAAGTCAGCTATTCTTATAAGCCAGCCAGGGGGCTTTATAAAGATGAAAAAAGAGAAGAGGGATTGAGTCTGGTCAACACAGTTGACAATTTGCATAATTCTTCACATTTGATCTATGTTTGACTTTGAATCTCCGAAATATTAATATTTTATACAGAACTTAGCTGTTGTATGAATTATGATGAGACATATAGTTCTACTAATTCAATGGCCGCTTTAATGACCTGTTAAATTTTTGTTGTTTATATATATATATA